TCATTTATCCAGAAACAATTATTTTCCAGACACACAAACCAAACAGTCAGTAAATTTATCAGTATAAGTTGTTGATCAATAAATTATCAAGATAAGCTGGATAAGATGTAGCTGCCCCAAACTGACCCTAAGTACCTAAAGCATAATAAAAATATTTTGAGGCATTAATTGGTTGACTAAGTAATCTTCAAATCATGCAAACTTATAATTAAATTAAGTGCCTCAACAAGATAATATAATGAGCACAATACAATTTAATTCAAATATCATTAAGACATTCAATCACTCAAAAAGAAAGTATATACTCAAGCGAACTACTCCGAGTCATTCGATGGAGTGTTTCAATTTATTGTGGTATTTATAGTAAATGTAACTCTTAAAATTGGGCCTCCATCATTAGACTACCACCATCATTGTCTAGACGCTGCCAGCCTGTCCTATCTAATCACTCCAATCCCTGCTGAGTCATCACCTTTGTCAAGCTACCATCACCGTTGCACCTTCCCCATACTACTAGTTTTTGGTTGTCAAGGCTAACCTGTGATGCAACCAGACGTCATATTGTTATCACTATCAGGTCATCATCAGACTACCGTTAATCATAAGCCATAATGAAACCGCTGATGCTAACAGGCCATAGTTGATTTTATGACACCATTATTGTCATTGAATCAACAACGCCATGGATCGTCTCTAGACCACCTTTATTGTAGCATGATAACCACCATTATTAGATCACCATTACCATCATCATACCATTATCATAAGATCTCTAAAGTCGTCACTTCAGTAACATTTTTTATTTCCTTCAAAAAAAGTTCTTCAAGAGTGATGTGTGAGGTGTGCTCTCCTTGCAGACGGTCCGGACATGTGTAAGTTCTTCAAGTGGGCAGACAGTTCGTCCGATTCTATTGTCGGTAGTAAGCGGGGTTTGACGGTATCAGAAGCGGATACGTTGCTCGGGGTTCGACGACATCCCAACCGGACGACGTTGCTCGTGACATGCTTCTTATGCACTTTAAAAGGAATATTATTATACTTTTAATTGTAATCTTCATATGTCTTTTCTTTTTTTATTCGGTTCCTTTATACTCACTCTTAAGTGAGGTATATATTCTTTTTTTGTACTGTTGTGAAGTGGCTTTATTGGTTCTGAAATATTAAATGTGTGGTCATTACAGTTTTGTTGCAAGCAACACAATTGATGCATGTTGTATTGGTCATTTATCTAGAAAAAACTGCAAATCAACTGTTTTTTAAAAACACAAACCAAACAGTTAAACAACTTATCCAAATCACGGGCAGAATAGTCATTTATCTAGAAACAACTGTTTTCCAAACAAACAAACCAAACAGTCAGCCAACTTATCAGTATAAGTTGTTGATCAACAAATTATCAGGATAAGCTAAATAAGTTGCAGCTACCCCAAACAGACCCTAAGTACCTAAAGCATAATAAAAATATTTTGAGTTTTTAATTGGTTGACTAAGTAATCTCCAAATCATGCAAGCTTATAATTAGATTGAGTGGCTCAACAAGATAATCTAATGAGCACAATACTATTTAATTCAAATATCATTAAGACACTCAACCACTCAAAAAAAAGCATATACTCTAACGAACTACTACTGAGTCATCCAATGGAGTGTTTCAATTTATTAGGGTATTTATGATAAATGTAACTCGTAAAATATATAAATATATCTCGATTTTTGTTTTAAATGGGAAAATTTTAAACTTGAGAATTTATTAGCCTCCATTTTTCGACCGTCAAACTACCATTAATTGGGCCACCATCATCACCTGGACGCAGCCAGCCTGCCACCATCTAATCACTCGTATCCCTGATGAACCGTCATCACCTTTGTCAAGCTACCATCACCATTGCTCCTTCCTTAGACTACCACTTTTCGGTTGTCAAGTCTAACCTGTGATGAAACCAGACGTCATACTTTTATCACTATCAGACCATCATCAGACTACCGTTAATCATTAGCCACCATGAAACTACTGATGCTAACAAACCACAGTTGATTTTATGACATCATTATCGTCATTGAATCAACAACGCCATGGATCGTCTCTAGACCACCTTTATTGTAGCACGATAACCAACATTATTAGATCACAATTATCATCATCATACAACTATCATAGGATCTCTAAAGTCGTCACTTCAGTAACATTATTTATTTCCTAAAAAGAAAGTTGAGTCAAAAGCCCCTATTTTTGTTATGCCGCCTTACCCCTTCAAGGGACAAGCAAATTTTTTTTAAGTGGCATTCACATGGTGGGATCATTTTAGCTAGGCAAAGCCCTATGATTTTCCCTTCATATATTTTTCACATAAAAAACCCTGCGTGCCTAGTATGTTCTTTTTTTCAACTATTTAGGATTGATATATTTGTAAAAGGTGAAGTCCTCCTACATGTACAGCTATATTACAAAACAAAAATGAATGTTCATAATTTAATGAATTTTTTACTTAAAATAATTATCTTTTCTTTTTAGTAAAATTAAAATTCCATTGAACATTCTGCCTCTTTGCAAAATCACACAACAAGAATTTTTTTTTCTGTAAACCATTCATCCTAGACCCTCAAGTTGTTGCTTATTTCTATGTAAACAAAGAAAATTATGTTATAGATTCATACATCTTAATAGAACATAATATCAGTGAGATAAAGGTTGTTGAATGATCAGAATTTGAAGCTGAGGAATTAGAAATGGAAGACAATAGAACAACAATATAAGCATCGCAAATACATAAAGTAATTAAAAATCTAGTTATAGATTAATTTGGCTCATTTTCATTTCTCTTTAAATCACAAAACTGCATTTGGCTTTTATTGTCATCATATTGGAATCATTGCTACCAAAGCAAAACAGTATTAGAATGATCAAGACGATCAGCTTGATAAAATCAAATTATAACAAGAGGCACCAAAGCACTCAGAAGAGAAAAGGTGTGTGTATGTGTATGTTTGTTTATTAGAATTCAGGTTTGTCCTGTGAGGCATGGCCAAGAAACGAAGAGCTTGTCACCATGAGGAGAAAATAGAGGGAGACCAAGAAGTAAAAATTAAGGAAATAAAATAGCACACACAGTTTTGCCCTGTTGCGGCGAACTGGGGTATTCTCGGGCTTTGTAACTCATTTTATATATGAAAATAGAGATTACAAAGGAGAATGAGAGAGAGTTTTCCCTCTAAAGTATGGTCCTAGATAGAAGAGCCAAAAAAGCCTCTCTTGCATATAGTTGACCCCCTATTTATTAAAGACATAGATTCAACAAAGTAGAAAATAACAAATATGCCCCTGCTTTAATGTAAGGGTTGCAAGATATTATTGTCTTTTGTCTTACATTTTCGCATTTGTAACTTGTTAAGGCGTCTTTTTAAATTTTTGGACCCTTCGGTCAACGGGTCCTTGACTTGTCCACCCGAGCTGGTGTTGACCGGTTATATTGCTTGGGTGTCGGGCTGTCTTCGCCTGGGAAGTCGGCCAGCTTTGAGTGTGGTACCCGGTTGGCCATAGTGTAGACACTCGACTGGCTCGTTTCTTGGTGATCTTTAAGGGGAGTGCTGAGAGAATAAAGTGTTGGGGATATAAAATTATGGCTTAGTTTCGAGAGGTCGTCTACTCTCGACGGGCTTAGATAGATGTTCGATCGGTCTGCCTTATGATGGTTGAGTTTCTATAAGCTTTCTAGTAGTTCGGCTTCATGAACATTACTATTTGATCTTGATTGTTTGACTGCTTAAGATTTATGCAGACCATTTTTGGATGTACAATATATATA